ACACCACTTTTACTTGAATATTTTTAGTGTAATCAGACTTCAAGGTTTTGTTGACAACAGCTTTGGATCAATTAATATAAGCCATTTATTAGATAAAACAAACCAAAGAAACCTCACCTGCCTTTCCAAAGTAGCACTGATTGCCATCAAAACAGCATTTTATGGATTCACACTGAGCACCTGAAATACCAGTAGTTCCGCATGGGACTCTCACACTTCTTTCCACATCACAGCTCTGAGCAGGTGGCAGCGTCGGAGGCAACTTTTGATTCTGTGGGACTTTTGGTTTTTGGGGAAAGTAATCATCGGATACTTGAGGAAAAGGTATGGCTTGCCCTGGAGGTGGTCGAGGTTGCTGGGGATTTTGTGGTATAGGAGGGATGTGCGGTGGAGGTGGAGGCGGAGGTTGTTTCTTGGGATTCTGCCACGGAGGAGGCTGATATGGCGGTGGAGGAGGAGGTCGAGGCTGTTGAGGATCTTGCGGTGGAGGAGGTCGGTATATTGGAGGGATCTGAGGGTTCTGGGGCTTTGGAAGAGGAGGAGGCTGGAATGGTGGAACTTGAGGGTTCTGGGGTTTCTGCCATGGAGGAGGCTGATATGGCGGAGGTGGAGGAGGAGGTCGAGGCTGTTGAGGATCTTGCGGTGGAGGAGGTCGGTATGGTGGAGGGATCTGAGGGTTCTGGGGCTTTGGAAGAGGAGGAGGCGGAAATGGTGGAACTTGGGGGTCCTGGGGTTTCTGCCATGGAGGAGGATTGTATGGCGGAGGTGGAGGAGGAGGTCGAGGCTGTTGAGGATCTTGCGGTGGAGGAGGGCGGTATGGTGGAGGGATCTGAGGGTTCTGGGGCTTTGGAAGAGGAGGAGGCGGAAATGGTGGAACTTTGGGGTCCTGGGGTTTCTGCCACGGAGGAGGACGGTACAGTGGAACTTGAGGGTCCTGGGGTTTCTGCCACGGAGGAGGCGCGAATGGTGGAACGTATTGAGCCTCCACCTCTGTCCCAGCTAAAGAGCCTAGCCAAGCTAGTGCCATGAAAAATTTGGCACTCCAGAACTTTGCCATGGTTTCTCAGCTGTCTGATCTGGACACTTCCAAAGTGCACAGTTTCAGTCAGCTGTACCATTTATTTGCTACCAACCCTAAAGTTTTTTTTTTTCTTATAAACCCACCTCCTCGGGCAAAAAAACCACCAATCAGAGCTTAGCAACTTTCGACAGTCAGAAACATTTAAATATCTGTTGACAAATCCAAAATCTGGGTCACACAAACCTTTTAAAGGTCTTCATAGCCTCAAATTGTATCTGTCACCAAATGTTTTTAAAACTAACACTGCATGGATCCAAACTGATAGCATGTCAGTGCAGCCTGATTTCGCAGTGACAGTTAAGTCCATAAATATTTGGAGAGAGGCTACTTTTTTTCTAATTTTGGTTCTGTACATTAACGCAATGAATTTTAAATTTAACAACTCAGATGCAGTCAAATGGTAGACTTTCAGCTTTAATTCGCTGGGTTGAACAAAAAAGACTGCATAAAAATTTGAGGAACTAAAGCATTTTTAACACAATCCCGTCATTTCTGGGACTCAAAACTATTTGGACAAATGAAATAACTGAAAATAAAATGTTTATTTCTGGTTTCAGGCAATGACAACCTGAATTCTTGAACTCATGGACATCACCAGATGCTGGTTTTCCATCTTTTTAATGCTCTGCCAGGCCTTTACTGCAGCAGCTTTCAGTTGCTGTTTGTTTGCAGGCCTTCCTGTCTGAAGTTTCATCTTCAACACGTGAAATGCGTGATCACTTGGGTTGAGATCAGGTGACTGAGTGTGTCATTCAAGAATATTTCACTTCATTGCTTTAATAAACTCCTGGGTTGCTTTGGCTGTATGTTTTGGGTCATTGTCCATCTGTATTATGAAAAGCCCCCAATCAGTTTGACTGTGTTTAGCTGGATTTGGGCAGACACTATCTTTGAAAACTTTAGAATTCATTTGGCTGCTTCTGCCCTTTGCCATATCATCAACAAACACTAGTGTCCCAGTGCCATCACACTGACTCCAGTATGTTTTACAGGTTATGTGGTATGCTTTGGATCATTAGCTGTTTCACACCTTCTCCATATGTACTTCTTAACTGGGTGAATGTGGCTCATAAGACAGACTGGGTCGTCTACCAATCGGAAAGTCTGTGGTTTGTGCCCCAAACTTCCTCATTCTGCATGTTGAAGCATCCTTGGACAAGATACTGAACCCTGAGTTGCCCCCAGTACATCCACTGGAGTGTGTTTGTTAAACAAGGTTCTTATCTATAGAAAACAAGGACTTTGCCATGGTTTGATCCCAGTTTTACCCAAAGAGCTCTAAAGTGAATGATTTATATTTGCTGCTACATTTACATGTAGGCATGAGATCTCAAAAGCCCCTTCCTATGTTGTATCAGCCTCCTACTCTTCATTTTTTTTTGGTTATGTGTAATATAATTTTGAGAAACTTGATAAGAAGTTGTATTGGTGGGAAAGGAGATGAAACTACAATAAAAGATCAGTGTGCTGGTCACAGTTTGAGATTAAAGAGTTTATTTACAGGTCCAACTCTGGGTCACAGAGACCTTTTTAGGGTCTGCGTGGCCTCAAGTTTTATTTGCCAGCAAATGTTCATTTTGCCAGAACGCAATAATCCGGACATCTCACATTTGACCTTGTCAGCTGTTTATCTTACTCCTCTAACAGTTGAACATTTACACAACATCGACATGTGAAGACAGGCCAACACAGTGGATATATGCACAGAATCTTAAGCTAAGCCAAATGTAATGCCAAACTACACATAAGATTAGTCAAATAATAGATTCTTATTTTGAATGCAAAAGATTAGTTAAAAACTATTCCCCCCCCCCCCCAAAAAAAAATTTCTTAAGATGCTAAATATTTTTTTCACAGTAAGCAATCTTTACAGATGAAAACTATGTTTGACTTGAACACAGCAGCTGAGGTTGAATAGTTTGTTTTCATACTTAGTAACAGTGAAATGACCTAGAAGTGGTAGATGAAATGAGAGCCAGTTTTTAAATGTAAAGGAGCAGTATTTCCCAGTACTTTCTTTCTTATCTTCTTCACCATACTGGACCAGCCTCCATTAGAGGAGAAAAAGGAGATAATGTTGACCCAGATTAAGCCTAGCTCACATAAAATGTGCAAGAGTTTTCAATCATCAGTCTCTAGTTTTACACGCTGGTGAGTTTAAGCAAATTTTCTGTGGGATCTTTTTGATTGCACCGTCTCTCATTCACCAGTCAAATCAGTGTGCACTGCTTTACTCTGAGTCTGCCTGAGTGCGACCATTTCCTTCTGAAATGCAAAGGTCTCTAACTTTACACTACAATGTAAAGCTTGTTTATCAGTTGCGGCCATGTGGCCAAAATTCAAATTCATGATTCCTCTGATTAAGTTATAACACTAGTTAAACCTGCTGCAAATGATAACAGGTTTATCCAGTGGAGGAGACGAGGACTGACAGCACTGTGTCTGTTGGGGACACATTTAAAAAATTGCCTGATAGATACAAACTAGCTCGTCAGGATTTCTATTTCAGGACCTCCAACTTAAACATCACTTTGACAAGAATGTTAAAGGACGCATATTAAATATATCAGATAATACTGAGACATTCATTTAAGCATTTATTTCTGAAATGTATAAAAGCACAAGTGGATAATTATAGAGGATCATTATTAATTTGAGGGGCCGTTCAATAAATTATATGAAGACTAAATGTGAATTGGCAATTGCAGTCACCTTTATAATGGACATCTATAATAAATATCAAAACAACTACAACAGCCATATATGTGGAGTGATTTTCATTGAAAAATTGTGTAGGTTTTTTTTTTCCTAACTCCAAAAAACTAAAGTCTGGACAGCTCAGATGGTTTCTGGAGCTGTCTGATCCTTAAACTATTCTGGGACAGTGTGCAGTATAGTGAGGGAGTTTCTGTGCTACAGTTCTAAATTAATTTATTTAAAATTTATTTAGATATATTTATGGTAGCAAGAAAGAAGCTGATAATAAGGCACTGACTTTGCAAAGAACCTCCTGTCTGGATTTAGAATGTAACCATTTTAAAAGTGTGTTTGGTGCTTATAGTACGAAACCTCTGCTAAAACCTAAAAACAGGACAAACCGCTTCATGTCATAGCTACATGTGACCATATCGTGGAGCTATTTGCTGTGTTTCTGCTGGCCTACAGTCATTTTCAAGTCAAACGCACCACATAACTGTGCAGTTTTGTTGTTTAGAAAATCTACACTCTTTAACACATATATACAACTAAATTGGCCCAGTTTATTATTATTTTGTTTTTCAGATATAGCAACCGCGGTCGTTTGTATGCCCACTGGATGTGGAGCATGAATAACCAAGAGAAATATATTGAGTGAAACTAAGCTGAAGGATGTGACCTTTTTAGTGAAAAAGAGCGATAAAAACAGAAAGAGAAACAGCTGTTTGTTGGTCCTTGGTATTAACGACCTGGGTTCTGATGCATTTCATAACATTTAGTAAGTTCAGTGCTGTCATTTATCTCGTTTTCTATTTACACCGAATTCTGTATTTTACCAAGATTCACAAACCTAAAATAGTCTCGTTGTATACCACACAAACCATGCGATATTTATGAAATACAATGTTTAATTCACTAATATGCCAGCATCATTATATAATTAATAAGAAGTGTTTGTTTCACGACTTGCACCGGACACCGGGAGTCCTTTCAAATGAATTAACTAAACTGGCAACACCTTCAGTACCAGCAACAGTTCAAGAAGGGTAAAAGACTCCATACCACTCACACTTAGCCTTTTTAATAACAAAATGTAATTATTGTAAAGTTAAATAGCTGAAATAAAAACAAATATACGTATATTAAAAAAATATTTATTTATTTAGTCAGACGACTTTGTATTTTTATTTTTCAGTTAACAAAGGCTCGGCTGAGCTGAAGTGAACAGTTGTTGCGTTTTATTGTGGCTTTTCCCTTTAAGACGCCAGAGGCCTACATTTCCCATAATTCCACGCTCCATAACACTCATTAAATCAAGTGAGTCCACGCGACAGCGACAGCAGCATCCGAGGAGATGATCCGGTCAGGCTCCGGTAACACACTCAGCAAACGGTGAAGTGTTTTTACCGGCGGAGATGTCTCTGTCGTCCACGGGGAGCCCGGACACGACCAGCCGGAGGAGGAGGCCGGCTGAACACGCGCAAGGTGAGCGGCACGAGCTCATTATTTAGCGTCTTATAACTTTATTTGTTATGTGTCGCTAACAGCACCGTTATTACACTCCCCATTTTAACTGTCTCCGCTTTATTTCTGTCTGCGTAGGCTTTGTTTACACTGATATTTACAGGAGCTCATTATGGAGTTATTGCACGGTTGTGCTCTCAACTAATCAATGATAGCGCTCAACTAATTAACATATATTTCAGTTAATTTTTAGATTAATATAGACCTATAAATGTCATAAATAGTGCCCTCCTGTCCAGTGTCTTTATATGTACCTGACAAACGTTCCTGAAAGCCAAATATTACAACAGCCAATGTCCAGTTTTCACGCCATAGAGGCTTACACAAAGAAATAGAAAAGATATTAATTCATTACTGCATATTTAAAGAATTCTTCCATTCTTACTCAAGCTTCTCTGTTACTTAAAGATAACAGCATTTTTAGTTACTTGTATTTGATTTCACAGGAACAAGGGTGATTTCTTTCTTAAAAGGCATTCTCAGTGTTCTCAAATACTCATGCACACTAAAGAACAAAATCACGATAGTGTATCGAGGTGATGCTGTGTGTGTGCACAGTCACTAACACCATCATATAACACTGCAGCTGCTGTATTTGCAGACACACTTAAGGAAGCCAACAAAAAAGCAGAACCAGGATAACAAAACAAGACTACCTAAAAGTGTGTGAGCCAATTTGAGCTGTTGAAAAAGGGAAGTCAGGACCGATGTGCCCACATTACCTTTGATGCATCTGGTTTGTTATGTATCCATTCATTCATCAATCTTCTGTATCTTTCTGAATGGCTGCAGGCGCTTTCCTTGCTTTAATTGCTGTCACAAGTCTGGTTTCACTGTAACAAATCTAGCTACTTTAATCAGGTCAAGTTAAGATAGATAGAAAGCCTTTTATGCCCCTCAGGAGATCTATGTACACGTCTCATCATGTCATTGAATAATAATAATAATGAAAAATTTAAGAGATGAGGTGTTTTGTGTGCAGCTTTTGAAGGGACATAGAGGGAAGGCAAATCAGAATCTCCTCATCTACACTGACAGGTTTACAAAGCCCCTGTTTGTATGGCATGAGGGGGTCACTTAATGGTTCAGTTAGTAGGAAAATGATGACAGTCACATGATATTTCATTTGAATTCACCAGAATCACCAAGGCCAATATTTAAAGCAACAGATGAGGGGATATCTTGCAAAGAATTGTCTTCCAATCCTCCTGTACTCTGTGGTCCTGGAGGATGAGACAAGGGAAGTAGAACTAAATACAAAGCATATGAGGCAAGAGACCATCAAAATAAAACAAGAAGTAACTAACACTGAGAAAAAAGACAAACACATGGAGACAGGAGTGAAAGAACAGAATGGGGAACACAAAAGGCAAGTAACCTATTGCCAACAAAAGCTAAGCAAAGGACTCAAGGTGTAGAATAACCAACAGCTCATAAGAACAAGGGGCACATAAAGTCTAATCATTAAAAGACTAAAGAGCTCAAACATAAATCCCTTTTAAAAAGCAAAAAGAAATCATGAAACCACAAAAACCTCAAAACCTGGCGTCCACTGTGACACAGTGTATCTGATTCTATATGCACATCATACTTTTTGACCCAGATGCAATATGTGCAAGTGGGGAGCAAGATACTTAAAAACTGGCCTTCTCTGATTACTGTTTTAACCAGTGTGTGAATGTGTGTGTGAATGGGTGGATGACTGGATATGTAAAGCGCTTTGGGGTCCTTAGGGACTAGTAAAGCGCTATATAAATACAGGCCATTTACTTTGGAGAATCGATTGAGAGTCATGCTATTTTGATTTTTCTTCATGTGATGATTTTCTTGCTGAAGTCTTTTACAGAGTTGGGGTTACGGTGATTAGTGATTTTTGAAACAGTTTCCATGTGATGTCTTTATTTGTCTTATCAGTTCATAGGAGCGAGTGTTGGAATAGTTTGGCACAGCTTAACTGTTCGTGACATGCTGCGTTATTCTGCTTGAAACAGCCATCAGTGATGGGTGCTGAGGGGTCCTGAGTTTGTACTGAACCATTAATACACAGCAGGATGGATCCATAGTTTTCATGTTATTTACTCCAAATTCTAACTGTACCTGAATGTTCGCAAGAATTACAAATTGTAATTCTGCTTAGCTCAGATGTAACGAGTGGTTCTTTGAGATAATGTTGCCTTTCTGCATTCTCCTGTGATCTCTGGGCAGTGGATGTTTTTTTCAGACCATTCTCTATAAATCTGGAGATGGTTGTGGGTGAAAATCTGAAATACCATGAGTTGCTGAAATTGCTTTTTTCCCAGATTGCTCACTTCCAAATTCCAAATTGTTGTGATTCCGTGCTATAAAAATACAATTGAAATTAAATTGTCTGATTATTCTAAAAGTCATTGTAAATTCACTGCTGTGCCACAACAATATATTTGATTAAAACCTGATTGAACACAAACTGCTGCCTATTACCATATATTATGGGATGTCCTTTTCAGGCCCATGGACACCTGGCAAAAACAGCTCATGCTAAGTTCCAGTCTGGGTCTTTTTAAGGATGGCACTTGGTGTATGAATGCTGTCTTTGACATCTTTCAGTTTTTGTTTCTTTGGTGTTACAGATTCTTCAAGCGAGCATGATCCTCTGTTAGGTTACAGTAATGAACAGGCCCATGATCGACTGTGTGGCGCTCAGCACGCAGACTCCTCCACTTCATCTTCACAACACTCCTTATATTCTGCAACAAAATGCACTGCTGCATGTGCATGTGCATGTGAGTGTAGTTTACCAGTCTTTATATCCATATTCAGCTCTCCTGTTAAGAGATATTTGCAGCCATTTCTTGGTTATTTTCTCATTGTAGGTCCGAGCCATCATGCATGCGAAGACAGCTGGGAGGAAAGCCAAAATAAGAAAACCATCAGAGCCGAGAATGAAGTGGAAGCCAACAAACTGGTCAACAATTACAGAGTAAGAAACTGGAAGAGTTTTGCACAGGAAAAGAAAGTGAGCCGAGTTGAGGACACTGGAGTAATTGCTGTCTGTGTGTGCGTTTTTATCAGTTTGGGTTTAGAAAGTGGAAGAGCCACGTGACGGAGCGGCCGTTTGAAGGCCGGTCAGATGTTGTGAAAGAACTATACTCTGAGCTGAATGTCATAAAACCGCATTCAGGTCCAGGTATGTTTTGTTAATGTTTTTGTTTTATGTAAAGTTTGTGTTGATGCATGATATCAGTCTGTTAAATCTCGTGCATTATTTGTCATGTTCATTGAAGTTGAGCACAAAGATAATTGCTGAGAAACACTACAGCTAAATTACTGTAATGAAAGGGTAAATGTATTTAAAAAATGTATTTAAAAACTAAAATGTTTTCTTGTCCCTACGTCTCGGTTTAGAATAAGAGAAATAATAATAGTGATAGATTTGAAAGTTTGATGTCATAAATCGGCTGTGTGCAGGCAGGAGAGGACCCAAACGCAGACTCAACTGAGGCGAAACGTGAACTCAAAATGCAGCTTTATTGCAGAGAATTTAAAAAAGTGATAGAAAACTATACTGGGAACATAACTAGGAACACAGTGAAACACACGCAACTATGAGGGAGATCACGACACAGAACTGAGGGAGACGCTGACATAAATACACAGAAGGAAAACGAGGGAAGTGAGAACGCACGGGGAACACAACTAGACAAGAAAACATGGGACCTTCACAATAAAATACGAATCGAAGGAACATGACGCAAGAGTGGAGGAGAGGGAGCGAAGAAACATGAGGTAGAGAGAGGAGACATAACGAGCTGGGGAAACATAGAATAAACATGATGGAATAAAACACAAGGAGGGGAAACAAGGCACAAGCAACCACACAAAGACACAGAGGGAGACACAGAGGGCAAAAGCACAGGTGGGAATCTAATAAACGAAAGCTAAACAGAATAACCAAGGTACTATAGAATAAACCCTTAACAAAGTGGACTTAAACATAATACAAAATGAGAAAAACACAAGAAACCTCAAAATGCTGGGTCAAATGACCCAGGATCATGACATTTGATCAAAGATTCAAGTCAGATTTAATATTGTAAAATAGCATCATTCTCCTTGGAAAAAGTGAGGAGTGAGTCAGAGGGAGTAAGACAGTTGTTACCATTTAACCAATTTACACACATTTTTTGTGCCTCGTTTTAGTTTTTAGTTGAGAAAATCTTTTATGAATGTTACTTTAAAAAAACCTTTGAAACCATCTTTGATATGAATTAGTTGTAGAAGATAAAACTGGCTGTCAAGTTCTTTTGAACACATTACATGTAACAACAATGAAGAAACTGATAAGACTTACAAATCCTTACCTGAACTAAATCTGATGACAATAGAATTTTTTGTTATTATATTTTGAGGCTTTAGTAACATTGTTAATAAAAAAGTGTCTGATAATAATAATCTGGAAGTGAAATCTGTCTATTTATTCTGTTATTTTTTGCATTAATTAATGAAATTTAAGTTAAATTATATTCATAAATCCTAAAAGCGTAAAGATATTTCTGCTGAAACACTTCTTTCATTCTCTGTGTCCTTCTGCTATCAGGTCATTTCATCACATGTGGAAACCTAGCCTACGTGCTCCTGTTTGGTTGGTGGGTTTCTCTGGCATATTTCCTGGTTGGCACACTGATGTTCATCACTGTTACTGGGGTACCGTATGGTAGGTGAGGTAATAGATAATGATAATAATTGATCATCTGCAATTCCCTTTGTTCTTCACTCTGTTTCTGTCTTCAGGTAAACTGTGCTGGAAGCTGTGCTGCTACTTCCTGTGGCCGTTTGGCAACCCAATCCACGAGGTGCTGTTTGGGTTGAGTTAATATTCCTGCTGTTGTCTGTGGTTCTTTTCATTTAGCCGGCATCAGACTGATTCACAGTAAATCCGGTAGTTTCTTCATTGACTCGTGGTCATTAAAGCAGAAGTCGTGTTTTTCTGAATGATGTCACAAGTCTGCAACAGTGCATTTGCAACAACTTGTTATGGCGACACGTTCAGGGTGCAAGGGCGACTTTGAACACCCTCAGTGAGTTCCCTCAGTGTGTCCCTAACGCCTCCTTCCTCTGACTTGTTATTCTGTTTTATGTCCCTGTCCTCCATTGCTTCTTTGTATCTTTGTCTCCGTGTTTAGTTTTTGTTTTGGTACTTCCTGTTTGAAGGTTTGTTTTCTGTTGTTTATGGATTAGTTTTACTCCTGGTCTAGACGTTTTCACAGCTCAAACTACATATCTCTCAGACTTATACTTTGATTTATCCCTTTGATTAAGAATAAAGTTACTATTAGCAAAATAAGAGTTTCAATTATCACTCCAAAAATGAAAGTGAAGATTGTGAAAAGACTGGATTTTAACCCTTTTCACCCTCTCTCAGATGTAATGAGAGGTAAACCAGGAAACTTCAATCTCTCTCTGTCCCACTTTTCTCGACAGTCCCCTTAATTTTCCTGATAATCTTCACTTGTATGGGATTGTGCTTGTTATCCTCCTGTTTGTTATTCCTTAATCCCCCCTCTCTCTCCTTCTCTTAGTCTGTGTCACAGCATCTGTATTTGTTCCCCATACACAGAGAGGTGTACTGTGAAGTGAGATTAATGGCTCAACGAGCTTAAAGTCAAAGTTTTCTGTGTCATGAAACTGTCTTTATATATTACCTGCTTAAATCAGCATGGTAGCGTATGCCTAACACATAACCTGGGCCCTATACTACGAATTCATTCAGCATTCCCTGGGTATCTTTCTGTTATCTGGATTTACTTACCCTAAAATTGGAAATCAGGATAAACAGTCACATGAAGCTGGTCATCAGTTTGTTACGTTAACCCAGGCTTTCTCCTGCGCATTCACATAAAAGGGTGTTGGCAGCATCTGACCAATCAAAAAGAGGGTGTTTTAAGGGTCATTTGACTCTTCTCTCCTCCACAGAAAATGATCCCTATGACATCTATTTTGAAATATTATCAAATGGTGACTAAAAAACTATGAACAACGTAGAATATCTAATAGTAAAACTGAAAAAAAAGAACAAGAGATGATGCTTAATTGTTAATCTGGTGATTTAATGCACAGCATGGAAAAATAAGCTTTTTAATTGCAGTTAATTGGTCAGTAGGCAGTAATTTTATGCCATGTTTCCACTGACTCTTTCATTTACAGCATGTTTTAAGTCAGGCTTGGCCAACTCCAGGCCTCGAGGGCCAGTGTCCTGCAGGTTTTAGATCTTACCCTGGGTCAACACACCTGAATCAAATGATTAGTTTATTACCAGGCCTCTGGAGAACTTCAAGACATGTTGAGGAGATAATAGCCATTGAAATCAGCAGTGATGGATCAAGGACACATCTAAAACCTGCAGGACACCGGCCCTTCGGCCTGGGTTTGGACACCACTGTTTTAAGTACATTGTAGAATCTTTGCTGCAGGAATACCTTAAATGTGTGCATGTTGTTAAGTTGTACCTTAATAAAACCACTGAATAGACCTGAAGCATGAAGCATGATTGTAAAAGACATCTTTTTGGTTGTGTTCCTCCAGATGGGAAATACACTGAGGCGATGCTGTGAGCGCGCACCAGACTGTGAATGCAGTATGGAGGCGGAAGAAGATAACTCACCATTTCTGCTGCCATCACCCACAGAGGTGCCAGTCCCAGAGATGCCAGACCGACCTCTGCGCACTCCTTACTGGGTAAATGTTCACACTTAAAAACATATATATAGATACCGGAAATTCACAAGTAAGACTTTGGCATTTAGTGCAGAGGGTGTTGCTTGCTGTAATTTTCAGTACTGGGTTATAGAAGTAAAACTGACCTAGCACTGAATACATTGCATGTTTAGCAGATTTTTTGCTGCAAGTGTAACATATCGTTATACAATGTGCCCTTCTTGTTGTACAGCGTCGTTTTGCCACCTATGTGTGGCTGCTGCTGGGATATCCTCCTCTGGTGGTCGTTCACTCTCTGGCGTGCTTCATCTCCTGGATCCTGGTCTTCACCATTCCAGTTTTCAAGATGAACGCACGAACTCTGGGCGTCATCCTCCTGCTGCCTCCTGAGGATGTGTCTATCTCTGCTGGCTCACAGAGGAAGGTACAGGTGACACGTAGTGTTTATTGGTCACTGCATAGTCCTGGGGAGTTCCTAATGCACCATTTTCTTTGGTTTTCTTCACTTTTAGCATCAGGGCTATGAGACCAGAGCGCTACTGTGTTGCTACCACGCTGCCAACTGGTACTACTACAAGTACACGATTGATGGGATTAATGTGTTTGCTGCCAGTATCCTTTTACACATAAAATGTGTGTGTTTCCTTCTGTGATATAAAGACCTGTTATTATCCTTGACTCCTGTCTCAGACCTCCTCCCTCTAGTGATAGTTGCCCTGGTAACTGGATATATTGACAGAGAAAACAAGTACGCCAGCTCCGATGTCAAATTCACCATAGCAATTGGCTCCATCATACCTCTGTCATATTACATTGGCATGGGAATTGCCAGGTAAGTATTTTTCATTAACCATTAACACCTCGAGAAGCAGAACAGAGTCTCTGATTTTTATATTTCGTTTTTGCATTTGCAGCATTTCAGCTCAGAGTAACTTTGCTGTGGGCGCTGTGGTCAACGCCACCTTTGGTTCCATCACAGAACTGACCTTTTACATCACAGCCCTGCTCAGAGGTCACCAGAAAGCTAACACCTGTCTGGAGGAGGTTGTTAAGGCTGCGCTGACTGGGACACTGCTTGGATGTATCCTCTTTATTCCTGTGAGTCAAGCTTCATCTTGTTTAGCTTGCTTAGCTTAGGTTTGTTAGTTGGTTAGTTAGTAGGTAAGACTTACCTACAGCCTTTTGGCACTGCACTGCTGTGCACAACAACATGAATGGCTAATATGTTGGAAAGTCTACCTGTACAAAAAAAGAAAAAATGCTAGTACGTCAGTTTTTAAGTAACACAGTTAGTGCCAGCACCAGTATACTTTATATATATTTTCAAGGCGTAGGTTTGAGAAATGTGTTAAATAAGCATGTATGAGTGAGACGTCATGTTTTGTTTGCTTTTCAGGGCATTTGCATGATAATTGGAGGTCTCCGTCACAGTGAGCAAAGGTTCAACAGCCGTTCTGCCGGAGTGAGCTGCGCGCTGCTTTTCATCTCTATAGGAGGCACGTATTTGAAAATCAGCACACGCAGAAGGCTGCAGAAGCAGTTCAGACTGCCACATGAAAATATGTGAATAGCATGTATGTGCCACAATCAGAAAACAAATGTTTATGCCTGCGATAGTTTTATTTCATTGTTTTTGTTAGTAAGTAACACCCGCAGCAGATGTCGGCCATTATAATCTCTGGATATTAAATAATCAAATGCAAATACCATCGAACTGGTGCCCTTAAAACACCGAATACAAGCTAAGTCTAAGAGGATTGTCTTCAGAATCAAGTCAGCTGAAAGCAGCACGAACAGTTTGTTTTTATTCTCCCCAGAAACATCTTATAGTTTAAAAACATTACAAACAGTGTTAAACACTCACTTCCCTCCTCTGAATGTTATTGGCAGGTGTGTTCGCACCCACGCTCTTCTCTAAGGCTTATGGGAACTTGGTGTGTGACTCCTGTACCAACTCTACCGGGGCAAACAGCACAAGCAACAGCAGCGGGTCGTTTGTCTGCCACAACTGCCACTATGACCTGGTAGGTATCATTAGCCAGGAGGACACCCTGTCCGTATGCACTGTACTGCACATGTACAATGTTTTTATTGTTGTTGTTGTTGTTTTCAACAGAGCAATGGTACACTGTTTCACAACCATGTCCAGTAAGTTATTTTTCAAATTTATCTACTAATAAAAATTTGTTTTAGAACTGCACAGTTAATTTTCAAGAACTTGCTTGGACCCCCTTTTTCCTTCAGTTCAATAGGGAGAAATCATTTGTAAGAACTGAAAAAGATTTTTGAGATACAGAATTAATTTAAGCCATTTGGCAATTAGACTCCGATGTCCCATCATAGCAGAACAAAGCCCAGCAGTGAGGAATTATGAGAGGACACCTGGAGGATAGGTGAAGATGAAGATGAAGGCTTAGATATTGAGCTGGATATGGTGAGGAAGTGGCCTGTAGGAATGAGACCCAAAAAAACAGAATGACAAAAAAGGATGCAGGCTGGAGAAGGCGAGCAGCAAAATGATTGGACTAAAGCAATGACGTCTGCTTTGAGCGCAGGGAAAATGGAAGCGATGTAAAGAAAGGTTAGCAGCTGAAACACCCGAATGTTGTTGCAGAAATTGAGACTCATTGGACCATGGGAACAACCATAGTGTTGCTAATTACATATTTGAATTAATAAGCAATTAAACGGGTGTACCTATCAAAGTGGCCGGTGAGGTGTTCTAAGCGGATTCTCCAATTTAACGCACCAACTTAACTTTTTATTAAAGTGATCATTGTTGGGTGGTGCAGTGGTGAGCACCGTTACATCACAACAAGAAAGCTCCTGGTTCGGACCTGCTGGCCAGCTGCGGGGCTTCTGAGCATCATCCCTGTGTCTGTGTCTCACAGTTCAAAGACATGCATGTTAGTCCGAGTGGTTATTCTGAATTGGCAAAGGTGTGGACGGTGTCTGTCTCTCTTTCCCAATGTTACTGGGATTGGCTCCAGCAGTTAAAAGTATAGATGGATATAATTGGGAATTACTTTGACATTGTAATTTGAAAGTGACTGATGTTGCTAAATCTAAATATTCCCTAAATTACTTTTAGGGCTTTTCTCTTTTCCTAGCCATCCATTTTCTTTACCTCTATCCCAGCAGATCCAAGATTAGAGGCAGGGTTCACCATGGATAGGTGCCCACTCTGTCAAGGGACCTAAACCGCAAAACCGTTCAGGCTCCCATCTAAACCTAAAGTCAAATTAGAATAAACAGTTCACCTCTGCAGGACGCGAGGAGAACACGCAATCTCCACACAGACAGTCCTGACCCCACCAGGAGATTCAAACCATGGACCCTTCCACTGTGAGGTAGCAAAGCTAACTGCTGCACCAGTCTAATGAAACAAATCTTCCTGGAGAGGAGTAATTCAATCTGAAGCTGTAGAAACTGTGTCTAAAAACCACACATTAAGGCCTCATTCATCATCATTTTGCTGCACTTGCTGCTCATTAATTGTGCAATGTTTGTTTTTAGGCCTTTGGTGTACACCGTGTGTGCCCTCCTGCCCGTTGCCTACATCATCGGTCTGCTCTTCACTCTGAAGACGCACTCCCACATTTACAACATCCACGTAGGAGAAGTACAGGGTATGAATCACTCTAACGAGTCACACTTAACAGGTCAGCCAAAAATTTCATGTTACATTTTGCTATTTTAGAGAAAAGTGAGCTGTGTTTGATGCTTACTTACAATACTATAATCTCACCAGTGAGTGGCCACCACGGGACGGTGGTCCACTGGTCACGCTGGAGGTCTCTGGTCATCCTCATCTTGGCTACGGTGCTCACGTCTGCTTGTGCCGATCTTGCCACCGAGCACATTCAGCCCATACTAAGCCAACCAAACATCTCTCAGGTAAGTACACGGATCTGAGCACGCTCAGGCTGTTTGTATGTTATAGCTTTAATGTTTTCTTCTCTCCCGGCAGTATTTCATCGGGGTGACCGTTCTGGCTATGGTTCCTGAGATCCCCGAGATTGTTAACGGGATCCAGTTTGCACTCCAGAACAACATCAGTCTCAGGTACATCCCGTCTCATCAATAAGCTACAGGAACAGTTTGAAGAGCATCATTTGTATCTACTTTTCTTTTTTTATTCCAGCCTCGAGGTGGGAAGCTGTATCGCTGTGCAGGTCTGCATGCTACAAATACCAATACTGGTCCTATTTAATGCTTTCTATGTAAGCCTTCATTTTAATCCTTCATTTATTCATATATAAATACAAGTCATTCTGCTGCTTTACAGTGTTTTATAATAGACACAATCTATCTCTGCCTTTCCCAGGATGTGGGATTTGTGTTGATTTTCAGTGACCAGCACCTGTGGGCCAGCATCTTCAGTGTGATCTTGGTCAACTACATCTTCATGGATGGCAAGTGTGATTATTTTCAGGGTAAGTTAAAGTTAGTAAGTTTAAAAGATTTTGGAGCTGAAATTGTGGATAGCTGGCTCTTGTATCATATACAGTGGGATGCAAAAGTTTAGGCAACCTTGTTAATAGTCATTATTTTCCTGTATAAATCTTTGGTTGTTACAATAAAAAATGTCAGTTAAATATAACATATAGGAGACACACACAGTGATATTTCAGAAGTGAAATGAGGTTTATTGGATTGTGTGCAATAATTGTTCAAATCAGGCAGGCGCATAAATTTGGGCACCACAAAAAAAGAAATGAAATCAATATTTAGTAGATCCTCCTTTTGGAGAAATTACAGCCTCTAAACGCTTCCTGTAGATTCCAATGAGAGTCTGGATTGTGGTTGAAGGTATTTTGGACCATTCCTCTTTACAAAACATCTCTAGTTCATTCAGGTTTGATGGTTTCCGAGCATGGACAGCTCTCTTTAACTCACACCACAGATTTTCAATAATATTCAGGTCTGGGGACTGAGATGGCTACTACAGAACGTTGTACTTGTTCCTCTGCATGAATGCCTTAGTGGATTTTGAGGAGTGTTTCAGGTCGTTGTCTTGTTGAAAGATCCAGCCCCGGCGCAGCTTCAGCTTTGTCACTGATTCCTGGACATTGCTCTCCAGAATCTGCTGATACTGAGTGGAATCCATGTTCCTCCATGCATAACGCCCCTTGTTATGCACAAATAACTCAATTTTAGTTTCATCAGTCCACAGCACCTTATTCCAGAATGAAGCTGGCTTGTCCAAATGTGCTTTAGCATACCTCAAGCGGCTCTGTTTGTGCTGTGGGCAGAGAAACGGCTTCTTCTGCATCACTCTCGCATACAGTATCTCCTTGTGTAAAGTGCGCCGAATAGTTGAACGATGCACAGTGACTCCATCTGCTGCAAGATGATGTTGTAGCTCTTTGGTGCTGGTCTGTGGGTTGACGCTGACTGTTCTCACCATTCGTCGCTTCGGTCTATCCAAGATTTTTCTTGGTCTGCCACTTCGAGCCTTAACTTCAACTGAGCCTGTGGTCTTCCATTTTCTCAATATGTTCCTAACTGTGAAACAGACGGCTTAAATCTCTGAGACATCTTTCTGTATCCTTCCCCTAAACCATGATGGTGAACAATCTTTGTCTTCAGGTCATTTCAGAGTTGTTTTGAGACCCCATGTTGCTACTCTTCAGAGAAAATTAAAAGAGGAGGGAAACTTACAATTGACCCCCTTAAATACTGTTTCTCATTATTAGATTCACCTTTGTATGTAGGTCAGGGGACACTGAGCTTACCAAGCCAATTTGAGTTCCAATAATTAGTTCTAAAGGTTTTGGAATCAATAAAATGACAACAGTGGCCAAATTTATGCACCTGCCGGATTTTGTTTAAACAATTATTGCACACTTTCTGCAAATCCAATAAACTTCATTTCACTTCTCAAATATCACTGTGTGTGTCTCCTACATGATATATTTAACTGACATTTTTTATTGTAACAACCAACGATTTATACAGGAAAATAAAGACTGTTAATGAGGTTGCCCAAACTTTTGCATCCCACTGTATGTGCATTTAAGAAACAGAATTTTTACAATGTGCTCCCCCTTTGTGAAATACATCACATAAGACTATAAAAGGGGTCCATGCACTGTATTTTTGCATTACTAATGGGTGTTTTGAAATCTAAAACTTTAACCAAAAACAAAAAAACCAGAGTGAGCTGTTTTTCCCCTGAAGGGCGGGAGCATGTAAAAATGTGTAAAATGTAAAAATAAAAACTTTATACTGCCCAGTTTTTTTATGGATGGTCTTAAAACTTCAAAACAATATACTAGGCCTTGGGGGACAGGAGTACCCTAGTTGGCTAAGCTTTTGACCTTGAAAGTTGATCATTGCCAAAAAAATTTAAAGTAACCACATCAAGTCATATGAAATTCGATACGACTCCCTACAAAATCCCTACAATAACGGAACAGGCTGACATTAGCATATTGTAATAAAAACATCATGGATATAGCCCTTGCCCTTTGGAAGGAGTTTTGCTCTCTAGTTGCTCTTGTTTACTCCTTAGGCATATCTGGGATCTGATACTAATGGCAGCTGAAAGACCTGAATCTTATTTTAGGGTGTTTTGATCCAGTGTGGTTTGGTGTTTTTTTTCTCCCAGGTACAGCTCTGGTGGTCGTCTACCTCATCCTCCTGGCTCAGTACTACTTTGCTCCATCTCCAGCCGGCTGTTGAATGTTGGATGGGGATTTTTTGCACAAATTGCCGATTTTTTTTTTTGGCAGTTTCTTATCTCGTCAAATTATGCATAAATGTCGATGGGGGAAATCCCAAATGGAACCTTTCATTTTTTTAATCTATTTTATTTCTTTTATTGTAATCATACTTGAGACAAAACTAAAAATTGTAAGCTCAGGATGGTACTTTTGTGACTAGTGCTGTTAAAAAAAAAAAAGTATATTTTATAAACTGACATAATTAACAGCAATGAGAGATCAACTATTTTTACTGTACAACAGGAGTTTCTGCACTGATCATACTTTAAAGCAACAATTGTGATGAAGTCTGTATATTTTAACTGCAGTAAAATTGTGTGTGTGATGTGACATTTTTAAATGAGTCGTGTGAATTATGTTAGAAAGTTTACCCTCTTTTACATCACACAATGCTTAACAGATTTTATGATTCAAACACAGCCTCAGATGAACGACAACAGCATGAGATATTACACAGTGTCATTATTTAACCAAAGCTACGCCAAAACAGAAGCAGTGTGTGAACAACTACCACACACCCCGTTTGTTCATGCACAGCTCTCAGTCCCGGGACAGGATTTCAGTTGGATGCAAGTCTGGAGTTTGAAATGTCATTGCTATACTTCAATTTGCTGCTGTGCTTCAGATCATTGTGTTGCATTACCCAATTTGGCCACGACTCATCAGTTAGATGGCCTTGTATTCGACTCTAAAATACTTTAATATTCAGAGTTCATGGTCGACTCAATGACTGCACGTGTCCCAAGTCCCGTGGCTGTCAAACCACCATCCCTTGGAGACCCCTTTGTGACTGAGTTCTATTGTACAGCACTTTAGTCAACCTGTGTTGTTTTTAAAATATGCTTATAAATAAAACAGACTTACCAAAAGGAGTTCTTCCTTCCCACCATCAAGTACATTTGATTAGCAGCATCTGGCTTGTACTTAGCCTCTTATAGAGGCAGTAAGATGGTACCTAGCTTTTCAACAAACTGCTTCTACATTTTTTTTATTTTTTTTTTTATTTGTTTTTTTTGTTAAATAAATGACTGTATTATTCTGCCGTTTGTTCATTTTAGGTTGTATTACCCAATTGTAATGTTTCAAATGATATTTTAAGGTACACACTGATATGCAACACCTTAGACCTGAACGCTCGTGTACTGAATTTTTCAAAAGACTAACTGGAAACCAGGCATGGCAGGCTGTGCCAGCAAAGATTTGTTCTCTATGAACAGGCTATGGGGGGGGGGAAAAAAAAAAAAAAAAAAAAAAAAAAAAAAAAGTGAGTCAATACAATGTTTTGAAAAACCAGCTGCCTGCGTTTTTAATTGTTTGTACACAGAAATTACAAAACATATTGCAGCCATATTTGCCTTTTATAAAGACATTCAACTTTTCTCCCAAGAGTTTAAAGTGACATGCACACCATACCGACATGCAACAGATCATTGAGCTTTCATTAACATCAAAAAAAATGATGCAAATATTGAACATGTCAATCTGAAGCAACGTCGTTACTAAGTTTGAGCACGCAGTGAAGCAGAATGCTTCAAAATAGAAATGAAAAAGGCCATGACATGATTAAAGGAACTGAGGTGTGGCGCAGTGTACAAAAGGGATCGTAGTAGAATAGCCGTCAGATTAACGCAGCTCGAAATCGAACCAGCACAGTTGCAGTTAACGTGAATTCAAATGCTCAATGCAAGGCAAAATGTGTTTTTAAAAAATAAAATAATAATAATAAATTGCATGAAAGCAACTAGGAGAACCACAACAGTATCAAAGATTTACAGTCCACAGTAACTAAAACAAAAAACAAAGCTGCTGGTGTGCCTAGATCTGGTTTCACACTGAACCTGCTGATGTTTCAATGATGAGTGTCTGCACGGCTCATCAGACTGATCACAGTATTTCACATCCTGAGTACACCTTCCACACCTTGTTACTAGTTTGTTAATGTTCCTTGCCAAGTACCAAAGCACAGCATCTCTAAAAAACAACAATGTAGTAGTAGTAATAATAATAATAATAATAATAATAATAATAATAATAATAATAATAATATCAACAATGCATGTTGCAGTACAAAAAGTTGAAATGGATTCTTGGCTTTAAAGTGGAAAAAACTGAACGTGACAGAAATGTTGGGTTGGGGTTTCTGGGGAAGTACAGCTACAAGTAGGGTGCAGTTCAAAGATTTCTAATAGAATAAAAACAGCAGCACAGTGATTTAAATAGTAAAAATGGCTTCGTGGGTTTAAAATAACAGACTAGTTAAGCATACATAGCTTGTGAAGAGCACCGACTAAAACCTAGTGGGCGAATAACAAAACAAAACCAAAAAAAAAAAAAAGAAACAAAAAAAAGGGCTACACACTGAGTGAAATAAACTTGACTCTTGCAGACCAATTTGTACACCCCACTTTTTAAAATTCAAAAGGCACTGAATAAATAGATACTCTGGAGCTACGGGCGTTCAAAGCAGGTTTTTCATTTTTTCCCCTCCCCCCCCAAAAAAAGAGGAATAAAAATTGAAGAGGCATAAGATATTTCACAGTGATGCCGTGTCACATGTTTTCATCTGATCAGAAGGCCTAATTGTGACCGGCAAGAGGAACATTTTTCAATTTGAACGGTCGAGTTTTAATCGCAGCTCCAAATCAGCACCCTAATCAGTGAGTCTTTGAGGCTGAAATGTGTTACTTAAACTGAAAAGCAATCAGAAATACAAGTCTGCTTTTTACTGAGAATCTCGAAACTTTCTATTTAAATGTCAGGGCCTACAAACTGGTGCCTCTGCTGGGTTTGAAGAGGGAACAGCAGGACTGATTGAGGGTAGTGCTGCACAACCTGTTCCACTTCAGGATTGGGAAAAGAAAGAACAGACAAAAAAGTCTTTGCCTCTAAATAAAAGCTAAAACTTCACTACTGTACCAACATTCATTTGGCCTTTTAACAAGTGGTCTTTGGAGTTTATAAAATATCTCTCAGGCTCCACAAGTTTCCACGACCAAAAAACGAAGAAAAACCTGAAGAAGGCAGAAGTGAAAAACAAACAGCATACAGTAATTTCTATTTTCTACACAGTTTGATGGATGCGTGCACATATGACACACTGGGAAACTTAAAATAAAAAAAAAAAAAAATTGCACTTTTTTAAAACAACCCCCACATTTACATCAGACTAATGTAAAAAGGCAATCAAAGTATTTTCATAACTATCTGACATCATCAGGCTTACTTTGTCCTTTCACCCTAAATCGTCAGACATCTTAGAGTCCGTGCTACGCCATCACATACCGCTGCATTCAGTCTTTATTTGAGCCGCTGGATTAACGTGTGCGTCAGTCCCAGGCTGAGCAGCTGGAGGGTGGACAGCTGGGATAAGTGAGGGAAAGTTTTCAGCAGTTTCTCCCAGGTCATTTCCAGCAGGCTGGGAACCACCAGCCACACTTTATACAGAGAGCCAGTCCTTCGATTCCCAGACATGTTGACGACTCCGCCGTGGACGTACATGCAGCCGGCCTAAAGGAAAAGGAACACCAGAGGATGAAATCTGAGTCTACTCTATGACGATTTAGTTTTTGTTCTCTCAGTGTGCGATGGTACTGACCGGAGTGACCGCAGCACAGTGAAAGTAAGCCGGCTCCGGCATGATCGCAGGAAGCTTTGTCCACTGAAAAGTCTGCAGGTTGAGCTTCCAGAGGTCTGACAGGATGCGCTCTCCATTATAACCCCCACATATAAAAACCTCTGCACATAAAAAGAGGCATGAAGCAGAAACATTTCAGAGAAAGCCCGTTTGATGATGTCGTGTGAAACACTCACCCTCTTTGACCTGTACACAGCTGTGACATCGACGGGCGGCAGGATATCCTGTGAGAAGAAAATGAAATGAATTTGACTTGTGGCAGTCAAAACGCTTTACCGCTGTAAATAAAAGTTGAACATGAGTCAAACCTATTTTTTCTTGGGGTTTTGTCATGATATCCTCCCAGTAGTTTGTCTCCAAATTATAAGCATGAATCTGATGAACACAAATAACCTTAATTTAAAGACAGGACGACAACAAGTTTGCATGCAATGGTGTTTAAGTGCCAGTTACTCTCACCTTGTCTAGTGGATATGATGTCCAGGAAGTCCCGCCTCCAAAAATATATATTCTCTGCCCGTCATGAGCTAGCTCATGTCTATATCTGCAAAATTATTGATTCATTTTCAGAAAATCTGGAGCCACATGTAGAGAATTCACTGTGTGTTTAACAAAGTGTGCCTGCTGCTTTTAGCTGTGTATGAATGACCTAAGGTGACTGACCTCTCCTCAGGTAGGTCTGAGGGCGCGTTATTGGGTTTGATGTGGGTCCACTCCCTGGTGGTCAGGTCCAGCCTGTGCAGGTCGGTGCTGTAAAGGTAGCCCGTCGTCCCTCCAAACACATAAAGGTAGCCATTTATGATGACCATGGCCTGGAAAAGGAGGATAAATGGTTGTAACAGATGGGATGGGACAGAACATTCAAAAGGACCTCATACACAAAAACAGTTACCTGTCCATAGATCTTGTTGGGCTTCTTCCCTCTGCAGCTGAGCAGGTTCCATCGTTTGTACTGAACGTTGCAAACGTGGACGTCGTTGCCGTTGTTTTCACCGAATGGAATCCCGGTGCCACCGAACACAAGCAGGTTGTTCCCATGTAGGACAGCTGGGGAAAGATAACAGCATCAAACTCAGTTTTGTTGATTAGGAGTGAAGTTTGGGAATAAAAAGAAACAACAAAACCCTGAATGTTTTGTACAGGAGTCTTCTGTTATAAAACCTATAGGAAATCTGAGTCAAAGTGTTTTCTAGATCTCATCTCGCATGAATGATGTAAAGTCATGTTGAGCCAGAAAAGAATATTCCTGTCACGAAGAAGCTGCAATCAGTTTTTGGCAAAGTGACTTTTATATATCTTTTATGTATCCAGCCAAAACGTTTCTATGATATTAAAAATGTATATTTTTTAAGAGTGATCTTGCCAGGAGGGCGAGAGACAAATAACATAGCAGTTGTATAAAAACATTAAAGTCGATACAAAGGACTGATTATAATGTAGGTACAAAAAAGCCAAGTCACAAAGATACTTGCAAAACGGGTCATTTCCTTATTTAATACATAACCTTCATAAATCCTGAGACTACACTACAGTTTATTTACCAATAGAAGCAACACACACACCAACACACACACCAACACACCGAGAGAGAAAATGCATAAACATTGGAAATCACTTTGACACAAAACCAGAAAGACATTAAAGTGCAGGGCACGGCAGCCACCGTCAGGTCATTTTTGGCTCATGTCCGTTAGTG